AAAAAAAAAAAAAAAAAAAAAAAAGAAGAAGAAGAAGAAGAAGAAGAAGAAGAAGTCGGAAAAATTCAATCGTACTGGTATTTGAAAAACACTGTGCTGGTTCAGTGTCTATATAATCTCATCAATCCATACGTCTCGACGCACAATCACACCTCATATTGTAGTAGTTCAGTGTGCAAAAAGCCCTTGATTGAGTTGGACAATCGGAGGCGCGGCGATCGGAGTGGCGTGGGAGGGAGAAAGATCAAAGATGCGAGGACGATGTGGAAGGAGATTAGAGAGAGAGAGTTCGGAAAATTGCGCCCTAATTTGTTCAGCACTCGCGTTTCCAAATCTAGGGTTTCTTCAATCCAGCTCTCGAATTACAAGGAAATCGTCTCTGCTCACCGCGGCTCAATCAACTCCCTTCAGGTCCTTTTTTCGCGTTGCCTCTAGCTTTCAGTTTTCCGATTAATATTTTCAGGGTTTTTCCCCGTCTCCGATGGAAAGGAGGTTTCAATTGTTCTCTTGGGAAAATGTTGTTTTCTGTTGATAATGCGAGGATGCAGGGAAAAGTGATTGTTGATGCCTGTACGTTTGGTTGGAAAAATGAGCTGCATGAAATAACTGTAATAGTGATATTTTGGGGAGATCTTGTGCTTGAAGCGTGGTTGTATCTTTACGTTTTGCGGAAAATTATCGTTCTGTGCTAAATCTAGTGCTTTGAAATTTAATTTTAATGCTTGTTGATCTTCTGTCACATTTGTTTCTTTATACAAATAGTCTCTGATAGAACAAAAAAATTAGAGATATACCTTAGCTATCTAGCTGATGATGCTTTTTTCCCCCTCTTTTGGTTTTACTATTTCAACTTTTATGCACCGATATTGTTACGAATTTGGTCATAATAATGTTTTTTTTTATCATAATGTAATCTTGTGTTAAAAGTTTCTCGTCTGGGGTCGTCATTGTGATGGTCTCAAGATCAGGTTGATTTGACAGAGGGACGTTATCTACTGGCTGGTGCATCAGATGCAACGGCTGCTGTGTACGATATTCAGCGGGCCACAAGTTACGAGGGCCGTGGGCTAATAGCTAAACATAGTTCTTTATTTAACATCAACAAGCAACATGAGCATGGCCATAAATATGCCATATCCTCAGCCATCTGGTATCCGATTGACACAGGGTTGTTCGTCACTGGTTCATATGATCATCATATAAATGTTTGGGATACAAATACTACACAAGTCAGTGATCTGTCCGTGTGATTGTAATATATTTGTCGTAAAAGTCTTGGCCATTTTATAGTCTTGAGAATATTTTGTGCAGGTTGTAATGAACTTTAAAATGCCTGGGAAGGTGTATCGAACTGCCATGTCTTCAATAGCAAGAACTCACATGTTAATTGCTGCTGGGACTGAAGATGTCCAAGTTCGATTGTGCGATATTGCCTCTGGTGCATTTGCTCACACTTTGTCTGGCCATCGTGGTATGCTAGTTCTTATGCATTTATGCAATGTAATTTCTTTCTTTTGTGGTCTACTCCGGATTCGTGTTTAATATTGAATACTTTAGTGCAATAATGGTTTTACGAACACCGTTATTATGGTTGACATTATGAAATAAGATTATCATGTTAATCACATACATGCACCCACATAGTAAGCAGTCATGCAAGACAGCTAAGCTGATTGGCTGAAGTCATTTAGTCAAGTACTGTTCCATATCTCAAGATATTTACATAGATTTTATTAGCTGGTTGCTGATTATTGTTATCTCAAGGTTGACATGGTGTACAACTCGTAGGGCTTTTTATTGTCGTATGGGGTCGTGCCCTCTCGTACTCAACATTAGCTAAAACCCCGATTTTTCAACTTGCTAATACGAAACGAGTCTAAATCCTTAACTTGTACAACAATATTCATGAAATCGAGTAACGGTCAAACTGATCTTTTTAGAATTTGTGATAGGTCAACTGTTGGCATTTCGTTCCATAGTTGATGATTCAGCTATTCGCACAAGTGATGATAATTAGTGCAGTGGAAACATTTTTATTGTTTCTTATATTTTTGTCACTGATCATTATGACGTGTCTCATTCCTCCGACTATCTCAATTTTATTCATCTTCATCCAGCTACTTGATCTTGTTATATAATTCTAACCTTAGCTAGAAGTTAAATTTTATTTTTGTCACTTAATTGCCTGCATGTCTTGAACATGCAAAACCCCTGTTCATTATTATTTGATTCTTATCACAGATGGGATAATGTCAATAGAATGGTCTACTTCGAGCGAGTGGGTTTTGGCAACTGGTGGATGTGATGGTGCTATACGATTTTGGGACATTAGACGGGCTGGATGTTTCCGTGTCTTGGATCAATCTCATTCCCAGTTTGGGAGGCGCCCCCCTGTCCTTTTGCGTCCAACCGCAAATAAGGTATCAAATCTCGTTAGTTTTAAATGCAATTATTATTTTAGATCTAATATAAATATTATTTTGCGTAAATTTTGACTTGCATCCATATAATAATTCTCCATTTCATGATTAATGCAATTACTTTGAAAGCTAGATATGTGGGTGTGATTTTATTGGGATTTAAAAGTTGGTATTTTTCATATTTACCTTTTGTGGTAGGAAGTTTTCTTAATGTAGGAGCATTTTAAAATAAATCAGATGGAAATTTGACTGTATGAAAAACAAACGAGAGCAATAAATACTACTTCAGCAAAACATATTTTCCGCCAAATTTATATTCCAATGCTTTTGAAGACAGTCATGTATGTTAGGGGCAACATTATTTTCTATTGACATGCAAACACATGCTCGCAAATAGTATCCACTTGAAGCGCCTATTTTAGTAAGGGCCTCCCCACTTGCCTGCATGACAGGGTTAAGTGTCAAATCCTCGTAATCTTGTTCATGTTTCTGCAGAAATCTTCGGCCAGCTCAAGCTCGTCTGTAAAAGTCCGTGCTCCTCAAAGAAAATTAGCTAATGGAAACTCTTCAAAACCCCATGGTATTGGTAAGATTTCTAGTCAAGTAAAGCTTGCAAAACAGAGATCACATCCTGGGATGTTGTCAAGTCATGATCGTGCGACTGGGCATTATGGTGTTGTTACTGGACTTAAAATGACTGAAGATGGCATGTATCTTATAAGTTCAGGTCGAATTTTCTATCTGCCACCATTATTATTACCTTTTGTGCATCACTATACTGCTGTTAGTTGGACTGTTTGGAACGTTTGCTTACAATGGTTTGGTAACTAATATTTTCATAACCGTAATTGTAACATGCTACGTTTTTTTGTCTAGTGCATTATAAATAATGTTTTAGCATGTTGTTTGACATAAGAATATATATTGTTTCATGTTGGCCTGTTTCTTATTATGAGATATGTTTCTGTAGGGTTTAACCAACTATAATTGTTAAATGACTCAAATTACGTTCCAATCAGTCTGCATTGTTCTGTTTGAAAGAGCATATATTGTTTCCTGTTGGCCTGTTTCTTATTATGAGATATGCTTCTATAGGGTTTAACCAACTATAATTGTAAAATGACTTAAATTACGTTCCAATCAGTCTGCATTTTTCTGTTTGAAAGAATTTATATTGTTTCCTGTTGGCCTGTTTCTTATTATGAGATATGCTTCAATAGGGTATAACCAACTATAATTGTAAAATAACTTAAATTACGTTCCCATCTGTCTGCATTGTTCTGTTTGAAATAATCTTTTTATCACGACACATAAACCGAGTATATTGTCTGAAAGAAACAGAAAAATAATATGCATTTTTTTTCTCAGGTTCTGATTCAAGGTTGAGATTATGGGACATTGAATCTGGGTGCAACACACTTGTAAACTTTGAAACTACTCGTCTGCAGCAGAGCAAACAAATTCAGATGGCCGTATCCCAGGACTCAACTATTGCTTTCGTACCATGCATGAACACACTGAAAGTATAATATTTTCTCCATTGATTCCAAATATGTGATTTCATGTTTGCAAGTGTATGACTTTATGTGGCTTGTATTCTCGTTTCGTAGGCCTTTGATATTTGGTCTGGTCAAACGAAGTGGACTTTTCGTGGTCATTATGAAAACGTTAACTGCTGTTGGTACAATGCTCTGGATCAGGTTTATCTAATTCTCTCGCCCCTCTTGCTGTTGAACTTACTTAAATGCACAGTTGAGAAATAGTTTAATTATGCCAGTACATCTTTTGGATTCCCTCATATGACCCAAACCTTTTTCATCGGTGAAATAAATACTGAAAGGTCTCTTTCTATTGCCAAGTTTTGAAGGAACTCTTACAAATTAATGTACGCTAGGCAACTAAAAAAGGTTCTCCTTGTGAGGTGCGATTCATAGAATAGAAATAAATTTCAAGTTGGCATTGGAATTCCCAAATTAGTTTTATTTTTGGGTTTCTCTGTAGTTAAGTTTTATCAGTGACAACTGTTGTATTATTTATATATTATATGTGTCCGTTTAACTTAAGTTTTATTGTTTTCAGATGATTTCAAGGAGATTTACAAATTGGTTTCTGCCTTTTTATAGGACTTGTACACCGGTGGTAATGATCGGCAGATTCTCGTGTGGTCCCCGTCCAAATTCATTTCTGAAGAAGTGGGTAGCCTTCTTAAAACCAAAATGTGATATTGTTTGTGCTTTTCTCATATTAAGCCTTCCAGCATCAACCATGTTATTTTGTCAAACCTGCAGGAGGAGTACAAAACTGAGCAGGATGGATCGGTTGACCAGGATAATTGGAGTGATTAATAACGAGGTTTATTTACTTGGACCTGCTTTTTCTTTTTGCACATTTCATTGTTCTACAGTTCTACTTGTACATAAATATTTGATTATAACTAGATGATGCAGCAGCAATGATTATAATGCTCTATGAACTCATGGCATGCCTTCATCTTTGTAAAGCCTATTTTGAAACTTTTGGTTTTATGATGATTGTATTCGACTTTCTGTGAATGAGATTTTAGGTTGAAATATATGTCCGTTGAAATTATCAGATGATATATAAAAGATAGGATTCCATGATCTATGGTATTTTTATTATGTAAGGCCATCTTTAACGGTAGTGTTTTTTTTTTT